GCTAGCACTTGGATGTCCGGATGGACAGGGCGTCCGGACGCCCGCGCCGCGCAATCCGTTTCCCACGTCGTTTTACGCGCCCATGCAGGGCCTGCACTGTCCCGAACGTCACCGGCATCGAGAAGAGGGGGAGGGGGCGGCGGATGCCCAACCGGCGCCAGGAAAAGGAGGAGACACCGAGGCGATGCAGCAGATGGCGAGGAGAGATGCAACATACGATCTACTTTTAAAACATCTAAATGCAACACTTGCAACATACGTCTAAAGGTGGATGAAACACTTGAAACATGCTTATGAAAACACTTGAAAACCATTGCAAACATACACAACATCCAGATGAACACATGTAACACATGTGTGAAACATATGCATCATCCAGATAAACACACTTGCAATATACGTCTGGAAAACAAGATGAAACATTGGTAACAGACCTTTGCAACATACGTGTACAACCATTACAACATATGCAACATCCCGATCTATTTCTACAACATCCATCTGAAACACTTGCAACATACTTCTAAAACATCTAAAGCACTTGAAACATATGTTTGCAACATGCGCTTTTAACAAAACCTGGTAGCCAGGCGGACGGAGCACTGCACAACGGGATCCGGCTGTGCGGTTGCGATGGAGAAGGAGGATGGCAGTAGGCGGCTGCGTTGCCCCTGGCGACAGAGCGCACGCGGTGTCCGCGGTGGAGGCGACAGCAAACAGTACGTCGGGTGGGTGCGGCCTCTCGCGGCGAGGTGGCAGCGGCGGTGTGGGCGTGGCACTGTGGAGTGGAAGGCCAGCGGGAGGCGTGGTGGAGAGGAAGACGTGCGGGAGGCACAGTGGAGCGGGTGGCGGAGCGCAGATGCGATTGCTTGAGTTATTTTTTATAATCTATTGTGACCGAAGGGAAGCGGAGAGAGCACGTAGAAATGGATAGGCTCTGGACGTCGGGTCCACCAATAACAGATGCCTCCGCCGCCGACGGACGTATGATTGGGGCATTACCGTTTCAAAAAATAATACTTGGTATATGCTTTTGGATTTAGCGCGGAGACCAATATTATTGCCAAAGGACCTCAATGCACCTATAGCACGAGAATGCATAGGGGGTGAGTTGTGTGGAATTTTATGTCCTAGCCCCACACAAAAGCTGTTTCTATAATGCTAGCCTCGTAACCATAGGTGTATTCCTTTTGATAAATTTTAAACGTTAGATTAAAAGTTAAACGTTAGATTAAAAGTGCATTCTTTTAAAGAGGGGGGAGTATGAACGTTAAAAAAACCATATCTGTTGTGACTTAAATGTCCGAATAGTAATATTTGAATACAGCAGTTCTTAAAGAAGGAACTAAATTTCCTTTTCCTTTTTAACGCCGCTGAAACCTTAAGATTTGGATTTGATGCCGGCTACAGCCAGATTAAAAAGAAACTACTCCTTTGTAAAAAAATACAATTCTAGCTTTGAGTCGGGACACGGTTTCCAACAAATCTTACCTTGCCTAGCCTTCTGAGCGAGTCTTGCCTTGCTAGCGTGGGCGAGCTAATTTTGCGCTCTCACGCGAGCAGGCAAAACCTTGTCTGTACAAGCTACGACTTCACCGGGTCAAGATCATCTAATTTCTACTACGTACATGAACAAGACAACACAGGAGCTAGCAAAGAATCCAACTAATTAAGCAGTCCCTAGAGATCGATTGTTTTCACCGTCACGGAGCGGGGAGGGGTTTACCTTCGGGCATGTCTTGCCGTAGGATTGGACCTTTCTACTCGAACGTGACGTGACGCGCGATTACCCAGCTGCTGGCCACTTCGCGCGCGGGCACACAAGGCACGGACACGGTGCCACTGGCTGACTGCACGCACGCACGCACACAACACTGGTCACCGAGCTTGGGCTGTCCCTGACGTGACGCGAACGTGTCACGAACCCCCCCGGACCCATCCGTCCATGTTCTCTCGCACTCACGGGCACGACACGGCTCATTGACTCGCCGAGAAAAAACAACTGTACGCACTGCGCTTGCTGTGGATACTACTCGTACTCGTATGTACACGCGCGCCCTGGGCGGGCCTTTACTCTCTGCTGTCACCATCACACGCCCCGGTGGCCGGCCGTTCATCTGTCATCTGTGCTGTGGTGCGCCTACCTCTGTTCGTGGTTGTCCGTGCGCCCGGACTGACTTTAGCCGGAAGCGAGGTGCGGTGGTGTGCATGCACCATGCCATGCAGCAGTTCGATCGGATGAACAGCACCAAGGCCTTGTTCTCTTTGAAAAAAATTTAACTCGATGAATAGTACCATTTTCGTCTTATTTGGCAAATATTATCTAATCGTGAACCAACTAGGATCAAAAGATTCATCTCATGATTTCCAACTAAACTGTATAATTAGTTATTTTTTTACCTACATTTAATACTTCATGCAAGCGGCTAAAAATTGATGTGATGGAGAGAGAGTGAAAAAACTTGCAATTTGGATGACATCTAAACAAGCCCCAAAAATCAAAGGCAGTGCCTAGTGCGTCGTAGTAGTACGTGTTGCTAGCTGTATTTCTATAGCCATCAATCAGAAACACTGCATTTTGATTGATTTGATCATCTGTACTACTCATGTCTTAATCCATCCTAGGCCATGTTTAGTTCCCTTAAAATCCAGAATTTGGTACTATGCAAAAAGAAGATTCTCCATCACATCAAACTTGCGGTACATGCATGGAGTACTAAATGTTGACGAAATCAAAAACTAATTGCACAGTTTAGTTGTACTTTGCGAGACGAACATTTTGAACCTAATTAGTCAACGATTGGACAATTATTACCAAATAAAAACAAAACGCTAAAGTAGCTACAGTGTACCGACTGAATTCGGCGGCGCCGATTCAGTGGCCATCTAAACACGGCCCTAATGCATACGATAGGCATAGCTAGTTAGCTACCCTAATTGCAAGAGCAGTTCCAATCATCAAAACCATGGAATGTTTTTCATACTTAGAAACTACGAGATAGTTTTCAAAATATATTAATTACATAATAAAAGCAATGTTTCCAGAAAACTCAGCTAGGCCACCCCTCTTGAGGTGCAGCACATCGGTAGAGTCATGCGCCACGACGTGGAGCGGTACACCGGTTTTGACGTAGGCTACACTCAAGTCAGGGCTGGGGTCGCCGACGACGGCGGAGCACGGACCGTCGTCGTCGCTAAAAAAAAACCCTAACTGCACTGAACTTGAGTTTTCAGAGCACCTCTTGAGATGCTCTGTGAAATCCATGAATCTGGAGGCAGATTTATAGATTTCGCGAAGCTACTCCACGACTGATCTAAAAAGTGTCTGACTTGAAAAATTGGAACTGTAGCTGCCGGAGCTCTTCCAAACAGACCCTAAGACGAAGATAATCACTATCGTAATTTATGGTGTACTAGTTTTTTATGTTAGCAGAGTAATACATATCTGGAGGCAGATTTATAGATTTAGTGGAGCTACTTCATGGCGGATATATCTGGAAATGTTTGGCTTGAAAAAAGTAGATCTATAGCTGCCAGAGCTCTTCCAAACAAATCTAAGACGAGGATAGTCACATTCATAATTTATGGTGTAGTACTAGTTTTTATGTTAACAAAGTAATACATATGTTGTACATAGAAACTATATTTTTAATGAATAGATTTTTAAATTTAATCTAATTATTTATCTTCTCTCGTGTCATCTAAACTTATTGTATAACTTGTTTCCTTAACCTTCTTCTTTAATGGTATTTTAATTTATCCAATGAAAATAATTCTAGGCATCGTGTTAGGACTTGGCCCTAGAGTGGCACAAACAGCACAGCTTCCCATCGCATCACGGCCACACACACCCCCCAATGCCGCCTCCCCACGCCAGACCCCCATCATTTTGAGCAAGACAAACAAATCACAAATCCCCCGTCGTCCAACCAAGCGTCCAAGCCAAACAAAGCCATGGTCCGTCCGTAGTCCGTCATCAGTGGGTGAGTGAGTGTACTGTAGGTGTGCAATTTGATACTCCCTCACATACTCCCAGGCACACGTTTCCCCATACGCCCACACACCATCCAGTCCAGTCCAGTCCTCTTCATTTAATTTCATATAGCAGCAGTAGCCAGTAGATGCTGCCTGTGCATGTGCCTGTGCGGCTGTGCGTGCGAAAACCTGTACAGTACGTACTACATGGTCACACCACACCACAGAGAATCAGAGAGATAGCATAGCAGGGCGCCTTTGCATCGCAAGGTCACTCGTGTCCCCTCGCCTCCGTCCCCTCCACGCAGCAGCAGGCAGCAGCTGTGTGTGTGTGCCGGTCGCCAGTATTCGGCTGCTCACTGCTGGGGGTAGAGTGGGCGACCTGCCGTGACTGCGAGAACCTTGGACATGAGTTGAGAGGCCCTATCTTTTCATGTCCATGTCCATCTCCCCAGTGAGCGACCGATTGATTGATGTGTGGTGCCTACCTAGCCGGTGGTGTTTAGATCTGGTGTAAAGTTTTGAGGTGTTATGTCGGTTATATTGGAGCGTTGAATACTAATAAAAAAATAAATTATAGAATTTATGGTAAATTATGAGATAAATTTATTAAACTTAATTAATTTGTTATTAGCACGTGTGTATTATAGCACTTTATTATTAAATTCTAGACTAATTAAGTTTAAAAGATTCGTCTTGTACCATATAATTAATTATTTTTTAGTCTATATTTAATACTGTTAAATATTCGATGTGCCCTCCCTCCCCTTTGTGGCAAATCTCATCAGCAACAGAGACGGCTGGTGTGACACCTTGTGAAAACGCTCGCTCCGTCTCTCTCTCCTCCCTCCATATCTTTCCTTTGCCGCTTGCTGTCTCCCTCCCTCCTTCTCATCTCTCTCTCTCGCCAATCTCCCTCCACCACCCTCGCTTCCTTTCTCCTCCTCCTCTCTCCTTCATCAGAGAGAAAGAAACTAGAGAGAAAGAAGAGAGGGGGGACGATACAACATACAAGGAATCGAGGCATGGAGCGGCGGAGGAAGGCAATGTGGCTGTACCCCAAGGTTGTCGGCTTCAACCCGCCGGAGAGGTGGGGCCACTCCGCCTGCTTCTTCGATGGGGTTGTTTACGTCTTCGGGGTATGTATCTTTAATCAACCGGCGGCGGTTCTGTTTCATCCTCTTGATCCCGTCTTCTCCGACCACGTTTATTTTTTCTCTGAATTCTTCTGCAACTTTCTTTAATTTGATTGATACCTGTAATAATACTGGTAGCTGCGACGAACTAGTTCATCAGGAAGACGCATGCTCTGACCCCGCCTCTCCGGCTGAGGGCAGATTCTTTTCTTTTGGAGAAAAAGTTGTATCTTTTCTGGTGTTCGTTCTCTTGGAGCTGTGTTTTGTCCCGTTGCTCCTCCCACTGATGTAGCAACAAGTGAGCAAGTAAAATGTTGTGCAGCTTTCACCAAAAGTGAGGGAGTCCTTGGTCCATGCTTGCTGTAAATATTCCTCCATAATGAAAAAGTAACAGCGGTAGCAAAGCAAAAGTAGCTTCGCCTTTCGTTGAATTATTACTGTCAACAGGTCAGTTTGTTTGTCACCACCCCACCTGCTGCAATCCAGTTTGCTGCTGCAATAGAATCTTGAGGCCTCACATCACATTTCATTTTATCCCAACAACTTGTTAATTCAGTGGTTTAGCGGCAAATGTACTGCAGCAGGACGGGGGTAGGACGAAGAGCGGATGGGAAAAAAAAGGAAGAAGAGAGCCTTTTCGCTCTTGTTTCTCTTTCCCCCGTCCGCTTGGGAGGGTTGCAGTTGGAGCATGCAGGACCACTCCGTCCCGCGTTTAAGCTTCCCCCTGATTGGTATGCTGCTGTGATGGTCAGTGGTCACGCAAAGAGAAAATGTTTAATGCCAGCAACACACTGACACCCGCTCCGCTCGCAACTCACATCTTGGATCGGTGCTACTTTACTGCACCGACCCAGACGCTGTCCTCTCCTCTGCTCGACGATCCGATCCATGGAGGAACGAACTTACCAGTACACGACACATGGTTCCACTTGCACAGTGATCTTGATCAGAACGAACGAACAATCATTCTGCAATCTGTTTCTTTGTTCATGTGGTCACTTTTCTAAGGTGGTATATAGCAGTAATGGAGCACTAGTGATTCGTTGCTGTGTCGGAGTTGTACTGATGCGATTAATTCTTCGATGATCCCTCCAGGGATGCTGCGGCGGCCTGCACTTCAGCGACGTGCTCACGCTCAACGTGGAGACCATGGCGTGGAGCTCCCTGGCCACGACGGGGCAGCGCCCGGGCACGCGGGACAGCCACGGCGCCGCGCTGGTGGGCCACCGGATGCTCGTCTTCGGGGGCACCAACGGCGGCAAGAAGGTGAACGACCTGCACGTGCTGGACCTGCGCACCAGGGAGTGGACCCGCCCGCAGTGCAAGGGCGCGCCGCCGTCGCCGCGGGAGAGCCACACCGTCACCGTCGTCGGGGGCGACCGCCTCGTCGTCTTCGGCGGGAGCGGGGAGGGGGAGGGCAACTACCTCAGCGACGTGCACGTGCTGGACGTGCCCACCATGACGTGGTCCACGCCGGAGGTCAAGGCCGCCGACCGTGCCCCGCCCGCACCCAGGGACAGCCACAGCGCCGTGGCCATCGGCAGCAGGCTCTTCGTCTTCGGCGGGGACTGCGGTGACCGGTACCACGGCGAGGTGGACGTGCTCGACGTCGACACCATGGCGTGGTCAAGGGTAAGCGCCATGTCCTTGTCATGTAGGGTGGTCAGTGGCCTGCCTTGGCTCAAATTTGACAGCTCTGCCAGATGCACATGTTTCCGGTGTAGATTATTGATTGCCATTATCTTTCGCTTTCCAAATGTGACGGTGACTTGCTAGGTTACATCTCTCAGTCACAGAGTAACGAGGAGTACTCCTATAGGAGTATTCATCTGTTGATGCTGACTGCCATGATGCATGTTTAACTAAGCAACTCCCCTTCTTTCACCTTGAAAAAAAAAACATTCAGCCCGCACAAGAAATTTCTCATCCGAGTACTGTATCATCATGTGTTGCTAACTTAACTTCAATGATTGTTCGCAGTTTCCGGTAAAGGGTGCGTCGCCTGGCGTCAGAGCTGGTCATGCAGCTATGAGTGTTGGGTCTAAGGTTAGCATCACCAGCTATTTGAAATAGAAGGAACAAATTTCGCGAGGAAATGCGTTTACTAGATCCTGAACAAAGCGTCTGTGTAGATCTATATTATTGGAGGAGTTGGTGACAAGCAATACTACAGCGATGTCTGGGTTCTTGATGCCACAAACCGTTCATGGAGTCAGCTTGAGGTATGCGGGCAGCAACCGCAGGGAAGGTTTTCTCATACCGCAGTAGTCATGGATACTGACATTGCAATATATGGAGGGTAAGTTTGCAGGGACAGATTTTTGTTTCTAGTAGATACGAGATTATCAAATCTCAAAAATTATAGTTGGTTAACAATTTTGTATAAATTTACAGATGTGGTGAAGATGAGCGTCCCCTGAATGAGCTTCTCATTCTGCAATTGGGCTCTGAGCATCCAAATGGCCGGTACAACATTTCAATGTGCAAGGTTCTTAGCAACCATTGGAGCCAAGAGAAGAGGAAATTTCTCAGATCAGAAACTGTAAGTAGCCTAATTTACCTTGAGTACTTTTGATCTTAATTTGTTACACAAACACCAGTACGACTCATCATGAGACAACATGGCAGAAAGATGCTAGTTTGAGCAATGGAGAAATGGTTCAGAAACCTCGAGAAGCAGAAATCGAGCAAAGAAATCCGTTCCTGCGTGGCCTAGGTAAGTGAATGGCAAATAATGAAAAGCAAAACAAGGCTTTCTATTCTGCCGATGCTATATTTGTGACACATGTATGTATTGTTATATTGTCGGTATCTTCAGAGAATGGCCGTGCGAAACGAAGGAAAACCGGTGAAGTTCGCCCAAACGAGCCTGAGTCAGAGCAAGAGGAGCACTCACTGTCTCTTTCCCAACATTCCTCGCCGTCGCAGTCAGATCAAGAGCAGAATGGAGCTCACAAACTTTCGGCCTCTCCCAACACATCGATTTCAGCCCTGCAACCATTTGTTCGTCTCAAGGCTAATGGCGCTCTGAGGGCTCCTGGACCCGGAGGCATTTCCTCAAGGCCTCTGAAGACGGACCAGTTTCTCCGCACCATCGCACCACAGCATCGGCAGGAAGTGCAGTTCCTTTCCTCCGACCATAAGCCTCAGCCCCGGCCTCCTGGCCCACCCCTTGTATGCCACTCTCACACACTAATTCATTCATCGGAACAATGTTCATTGTCGATCATGCTTCTTAATGGTTACTGCTTCGCTTCTGCAGATTGGCGCAGAGGTTCATGGGACGATCGATGGAGCTTTCGATTCTGGGTACCTCATGACCGCCGTCGTGAATGGGCAGCTCTTCAGAGGCGTTCTATTTGCTCCTGTAAGCAATCCATCCGGAAACAAAATATAGATGATATCAGGGCTCCATACTTGGTGTTTTGTTGATGTTTCTTGCCTTTGGCTTTCCCCTCAGGGACCTGGAGTTACAGCTCCGAGACCGACGGTTCATCACCAGATCCTGACGAGCTCAGCCGTGCCTCCCCAGCAACGGCCACTGCTGGCGCACGCCATCCCTGTCCACGCCCGGCCGGTGCCACAGGCGACGGGCTTCGTGCTGCCGGACTGTGCCCACCACGCGCGGCAAGGGTTCCCGGCAAAGGCCGTCAAGTCCGAGCCCGAGCGAGGTAGTAGCGACCTGCACGATGTCGTGCTCACGCTGGGAGGGCCTGGAGGGGGCAAGTGAGCCCCTCAGCCCCTCACGGAAGGCCTCAAGAACGGTCGAGGTCCTGCTGGCCAACTGCTGCTGTTTGCCTCTTGGATTGCTTTGTAAATTAGACATTCTGGTTGAGGAAAAAAAATAAGACTAGCAGCTTTTCTGTAATTTTCCCGGGTGATTCTAGGGTTCTTTAATCTGTGACTTTTACATATATGAATATAGTGTTAGCTTGATGCAGCTAGTGTTATGAGCAGTTGCCAGTTGGTGTCCGTCGTGACTCGTGAGCTTCTTGGACTCTTGGACATGTTAGTATTTTCTGATGGCTCTACACGAATCGGCTTCGGCCTTTTGGAAACGGGCTTGCTATCGCCTGGACAACCGTGTCTGCAGCCATTTCGCACATCCACATGGGCCCGTGCCGCCCCCAAACATCACCAACGTCGTGAAAGAGAGGGGCAGCGGATACACAGCCAGCGTCGGGAGGAAGACACAGGGGTGAGGCAGTAGAAAATGAGAGAAAGATGCACCAATCTATTTTTAAAACATACAGACGAAATATTTGTAACATGTATATAAAAACAGATGAAACTTGAAACATGTGTTTGAAACACTTGCAAAAAAACACATGAACACACTTGAAAAAGCCATTGCAAAACATATGCAACATCAGGATAAAACACTTGCAACATATATGTGAAACATATGCAACATCTAAATAAACACACAACATACGTCTAAAAAACATATGAAACATTTGTAACAGAAGCTTGCAACATACGTGTACAACCATTGCAGCATGTGCAATATCCCGATCTACTTTTGCAACATCCATATAAAACACTTACAACATACATCTGGAACATCTAAAACAATTAAAATATACTCTTGCAACATGCAGTTTCAGCGCAACATCTCCTTGCTGCTTGGGAGAACGGAAGCTCGTCGTCGTGTGGAGTTCACTTGTGTAGAGCTCGCCGGTGGCACGAACCCCGCCGCTCTGATGGAGAAGGCCGCGGTAAGTCTGGTGGAGAAGGCCGTGGCGGGTCTTCACACTGTGCGGGTGGAACATGAGCTGTGCGCGGCGTGAGGTTCGCTGCGAGGTGTCTATGGGCGAGTTCCATCCCAGTCGTCGCGAGCTATGCGTGGGCGAGTTCCGCCCCACCCACAGCGAGCTGGGTAGGCGGAGCGCAAGATGTGTGCGGGCGGGCTCTACCCGGGCTACCGTGAGCGGCATGCGGGCGAGCTCCACCCTGACTGCGGCAAGCTAGGTAGCCTCTACCCCAGTCGGGATGAGCGTGGGCAGCCGTGGTGAGCACGGGATGAGTGCAGGCGGCCTCCGCCCCGACCGGTGGCCGCGAGCTCTGCGGGTGGAGCGTGCGCTCCACTTAGATGATTTTTTTTAAAACTCCGGTGACGAGTGGATACGGGGACATTTGGGCTGGCGTCGGCCCACCAACGGAAGAGCCTAGGCAGACAGACGCCCTTTTCAAAGGGCCTGCTTGGTTACTGTCTAAAATTTGCCATGCCAAAGATTTGATAAGCCAAAAGTTAGACAAAAAAAATAGCCATAGATTTGACAAGCCAATTGTGAGAGTTTACCAAATTTTGATAGCAAACCAAATATTAGCCAAAATCATAACTTACCACATATTTTACGTGACAAATTTTGAAAGCTTGAAAGCGAACCCAGCACACCCTAAGAATCACCGTTTTGGAAAGGAACGTACACTTTGCTTGAACGTACACCGTTTGACAAGTCAAATTGAAAGTCTGGTGCAACCTTACCTAGATGAAAAGACAGCAAAAGCCACCGAGCCAGGTCCGGTGTTTATCACAAAGAAAAAAACGTGTTGTCTGTTGTCCCTTGTATAATAAGGGGAAAAAATCACCTCTGTCCGATGTCCGGCAAACATTTTTAGTGAAAGATAACTCCCATACCACACCACGTCATGCAATCCTCTAAACCCTTTCTATACGTATTTCTACGGCCATTTAACGGTTCAATAAACCAATCGACCCTAGGACACATACGCATTTTTAATCAAATTCCATTAGGTCCCGTTTGGATCCTTCGAATTGAATTAATTTTAAGAATCATAATTTAGACATATATTAATTAAATTAATATAGTTGTACATAAATTATATTTGTATATTATTGTTGGCTATACAAGAGATACTTATGTGTTGCATTTCTATCGTAGGGGAACGAGTTTAAGAGCGTGTTATAAGTTATAAAATAGAAATATAGAATGGTGATCTATAGAATTAATTTCCATCCTCCACCCTACAAATTTGAGATGAGCTTATATGTGAACTTTGAAAAATGATGAAATGTCAAATTTAGCCAAATAGCATAATTTATTAAGTAGATTCTAATTCCTCCGAACTTAGGGATCCAAACGGCCCCAGTTTTACTTGCTTCGCGCTAGCTCCCGACACCAGTTGGATCAGACATGGGCTGACATCATACACGTTGTGCTTAAGCCCCTTATACCTACTTATCCAAAGGTGACCTGAAAACCCATGACATCGATGTGTATCCTATATACGATAATTTAGTAACATGAGGAAAATTTGTGACATGATGACATACATAAGAATACAACAAATTTACACCTCTCTTGTCTAACATGGAAGAGAAACAGATACGCTAAGGGTTCAGAGGATTGCATAATGTGGTGCGGTATGGCTGTATGGGGTTATCCTCTGCACCTGCAATAGTAAGAGTCAGTTATTGGCTCTAAGTTAACCTCTCCAATAATGTTAGCTTTAGCGATGACTCATAGTATGATTAGGCCTATATGACACTCTCATATGTTTTTAGAAGGTGTGTATGAGCCTACCTCTTAATAAGAGTTAGCTTCTCTTTCTTCTATTAAAATATTAAAAAAATGCTTAGAGCTAACTTATAAATCACCCTTTGCCGGTGCCCTAAAGGAGACGAGCATTGAGCCAAGAACTAGAGCCTAGAGTTGCGTGCATGCCGATCACACTAGCGACACGTGTGGGGTACTGGGGGACGGTGCAGGTGTATGAGACAGGGTAACGAGGATTACAAACATGCAAAAGCAATGAAGAATTGAAGCGATTTGAAGAATTATAGAAAAGCCTTCGAGCCACAAGTTTGTCCAAATAACCATGCAATAAACATGCAAAAGCTATTTGAAATTCCTTGGTATATGCAAAACTCTTCTCCACGCCTGAGAAAAGAGAACGGAGGAAGTATATCCATTGTAATGTATGGACATACTCCCTCTGTCCCTAAATGTTTGTTGCCATGATTTATGTGCCGATAACTTTGACTTGATTTATAGAAAATACGTACAATATTTCTATCTCCAAATAAATTTATTAAAAAACTAGATTCAAATATCTATTCAATAATACTAATTATGTATCATAAATATTAATATTTTTTAATATATATTTAGTCAAAGTTGTTTCTAAAGCGAAAACGACAGACATTTAGGGACGGAGAATTATATACCACAACAGATAAAAGAACAACAAAGGCTAATTTGGATATACATGGCTAGTTACTAGTTTGAGCTAAATATTAGCCTAAATTAGCTAAGGTTAGCTAGCTAGTTGGTTAACAATTAGTTAAATATATAACTCAGAAATTAACTCATCTATGAACCATCGCACTATAGCTAGTTTTAGCTCCCTCATTAGCCCTTAGGTCCAAACATGCCCTTAATGTTGCTTACAAGGTTTGAAAATTTCAGTAGCAGCTGCTGTTGTCTTGGGTAGAGGTCGCATGATTGCCGGATCCTCAATGTCGACAGCATATATTAGTCTAGTATAAACTGACAATATGAAGATTCAAAAAAAAAAAACTGACAATATGCAAACTGTTTTACGAAAACCATTCCTCATCTTTAAAACGCCGCATAGTCGTAAGGATGTTTATGATAGTATATTTGGCAACAAATGGTCACATGACAAAAAATGACACAATACAACTAATAAGTAGACTAACACGTTCAGCAACTGTATGTCTGTACCACCAAAAAAATATCTCGATTTCAGGTTCACCATTTTCACGGTTTGACACGACAGAAGCCTAGGCACACCGCACACCTGTAGACAGCTTTCGACCACCGTCCTGCAGGCAATTATTTCCAGCACGAATGGCTGCTCTGTTCAGAGACCTATCCACACTACACTTCTCGCGAGCGTGCACATATCATTGTCAGGACATCAACCTGATGGCACACTGACCACAAGACATGGAAAGAGAAGCGGCTCTGTAGTAGGATTCGTGCTGTAACAGCAATTTCATTGAGAAGAAGAAAGGTAGAACAAAGGAGTATCTCAAAAAAGCCTAGCTAGACAAGACCTCACGTTGCACTTGCAAGAATCTTATTGTTCCCCACTGCTTTTTGTAAGAGCACCAAAAGCTGGAAGGGCACCAGCCCAGGCATGAGCTATCCTTTACATGGAACAACGAAAGAACTGATATGTTTCCAATGCGGACACCCAAACCGTTGGATCTACATTTGATTTCTGATGCTCATGGAAGGGGTCAACACAATTAACCACTCAAGCAAATTGGAATGAAGATAAATATGTATCTCATCGACCGTCGCCCAACCTCTTGAGTAGCTTCCCAATGTCGTAGCAAATCTCAATCTTATCATTTTTTATCTGTTGACGGAGTGAACAGCTTTTCTTACCGGCTGCCAAGTATGTGCGCAAGAGGGACTCATATGCGTTCCCGTCAATGCACCCCAGCGTCCTCAGGCAGTTGCAGAACCTCTCGGCGCTGTCAGCATCCTTGTGTTCTTCGAAATACTTCTGGAACTTGTAGATCCTGTCCTGATCGAGCTTCCCTGCTTTCTTGGGGAGTTTGGTCATGTTCTCTACCCAGTTCAGTGCTGAGTTCATGTCCCCCTTGCCCATGTAGTGATCAAGAAACAACTCACATGTTTTGGAGTCAAAGTCCGCACCTTTTTCCTTGACCTTCTCCCTCAACATTTCTGCTTCTTCGCTCATGCCAAGCTTCAGATGGCCACGAATCAT